CCCAACGTGATACTTGCATTAACTGAAAATCCAAGTTCGAAGTGTGTGCGTGTGTGCGTGTGTTTCGACCCGCCAAGCCAGAATCAGAAAGGCCAAAAGAGGCACAGCAGGGCAAATCGAACAGGCTCAGGCGGCTCAGCTCCCAAGCTTTTCCACGGAGGCTGGGCACTTGCACACTCCTAGAACCAACTGTCCTCTAGGGCTGTGTCAGGCTCCACATGTGGCTGGATCTTGAAGTCATGTGGTGGTGGGAAACCACTTCAAACGTCCACGCACCACACCCAGAATCTGTGTGCTGCGCAGTGCTGGTCATTGCGAACCGTCGTCCAGACTACAGCCAACAGGGCCCTTTTTCAGGCCCTGAAAGGCTGCTTAAACGAAAGTCTCCACTGAGAACTCAATTTCAGTTGTCCCGGCCACCTGGAAGCTCACCTGCAAAATGCGCACCCTCTTCAGAAAGAGCAAATCATAAGGGCTTATCGGCCACGAAAACATCGGTGCCTTCTTGCAAATCACAGCGCGTGATTGGAATTCTGCAGCGCATACTTCCACCTCTTCATTTGTCGCCTGACTTCCCCAACGGGATCCGACTGCAAACGAGAAAAGTTGTTGCTGTGACGCGTGGCAACTCAATGACTCACCCCTACAAAGGTAGCTAAGTAACGCCGACCACTTGTACCACAAGTCCATGATCTGCAGCAAATCGCTTGAAGCGGAGGGATGTTGCAGGAACAAGTTTTGCCTGCGCCAGCTGTTTGAGTGGAAGATGTTGCATGTCACATCTCAACAAGGAATTTGAGAATAGAGACATTCAGTTGATCACATGTTTGCAAGTTCATACTTGAGCAAGATTGTCCTGCAAAAGCGTTTTACAGGCAAGGGGCCCTCTCGCCAATAAACGCCCATCCATGGATCACAGGGACAAGCAAACCATATCCTGTGCTGGTCTTGGTCCAACCCACCTACTGTCCACTCATACTGTCAACAGCGTATCCCAAAGATAGAGAGAGAGATGTCTGAGGTTGTCACATGTGTAAGTACGAAGGTATTTATATATATGTCATGAGAAAATCCGCAGATGATATCAAACGCTGCGTCACTGTCCCCATTCATAACCACATAAAAACACACCCGGGCAAAAAAATAAAGGTGAGAAAGAGAGGAGGAGGACAACAGCAGGACAAGAGGAGGGCAAGAGTGGAAAAAAATAACATCGTGTCAAATTGAACTGCCAGGCGTCCATGACCTTCATAGCCAGCGCTGAGTGTGAAAACACTTGTGGCATTCAACCAGGTTAGCACACCACTGTACCAGTCATAGACCTTGGGGCACACTAGGAGCCGCTAGGTAAAGACAATACCATGTCGTTATGGAAGCTGCAAGCCAAGAATCCGCATAGGAATCAGCCAATTGCCCTGCCATGGTGACTCTTGGTGATTCAGTCTGGATGTCTAGTCATGTGTGTCCTGTCCTGCAGGCATCACTTCACTTAGCTGCAATGGGTGAGGGGCATTTGTGAAGATGTAGAAGACTCTGCCCAAGCCATTCAAATCCTGCACTCTGCAGCTCTCCAAGCACCACAACAATTAAGATGCAAAAGTTTGCAACTGACTGCTGTAATGCAGCCGGAAAGCTGAGTAGGTAAAGTAATTGTGGCAGCTGGCCTTGGCTCGGCGGCAGCTTGGAAATCTGACCAATCACAGAAAGCCAGCTAGCGGCTTTCGCAGCGAGATCCAACTGCCCATGTCCACCCAATAAGGCAAGTCACTGGATCGATGCCTACAACCAAGAACATCAGAAAAGCCGCGCTGCAAGCAGAATAAGCATTCGGTAAAGCCGCACAAAGATTTGTTGTTGACAACGCGCCTTTAGAAAAACATGACTCCAGTGGCATTACAGGTCTGTCTGGCTTGAGCACCTTGCGGAAGCGCAACTTTGGCAGAAGCCACCTGCATAGCCACAAGTGTTGATCAAATGCTCGTCAAGGCACTCTGCCATCGGCCCTGCAAGTGGACATCACCCGTGAGGCATTCAACAAGTGGATGCCATCCTGCAAACACTGTACAGTATACCAACAGGCAAACGCTTCACATGTTCAACACGAGGCAACATGGAAACAGCTTAGATGTCACTGAATCAGCTGAGGATCCATTGGCCCGACCATCGCACCTTGGTGCTTCGAGTCATGGGTGACAGAAACATGCCCTGGAGCATATACAATTCTTATCAATTATTCCTCTCTTTGTCTCTCACATGCCTTCGAGAGATATGCTACAAAATCTTCATGAATCTTCTCCTGCTGAATGCAGGAGAAGGGAAAAAAACAAACATGACTCGAGCAGTGTCGGAAGCACAAACTTGGGTGTCCTACCTGCCGACCCCTGGCTTTGGCCCAACGATGAACTCAGAAAGCGTGCTCCGCGCTCCTAACTCAAACTGACTCATCCCCACAATTACTCTCTCGAACACATTCCAAGTAGCCAGACAGTGCCGCCATGAGGGTGGCCCTGTTCGGCCGAATCTCGGGCCCGACTATCTGCCCACCTGTCTGTGGCAAGTTACCTGAGAACAAGTTGAAGCACCAACTGCACATGACCATCAATGATTGTCAAACATCACAGATTCACAGGATTCGTCAAAGTGTTACGAGATCTCAATCCTCCTGAACTGTGGAACATGCCCCAACACACGGCTGTACTGCATCAAAGTCGCTGGAGTAGAAGCCTCGTACAGGCTTCACTACGAACTTGCCAGGCGTCAATTTGTTCAAACTCAATCGACTCAAGCCAAAACAGGCAAGGGGCCATCTTTGAACGGCAGGATTCCAATAGCCCAATAGAACATTGACCTGGAACAAAAAACCAGCAAAATCATCATACAAACCTCTCGCTGCGCCGCCACGCTGGTTTCTGCGCCTGTGCCGAAAACACTGCCATGTTCTGTTCTGTTTGACAAAAGGTAGTCACCAAGCCGAATCGTAGAACCCACGCTGCATCGCGCACAAGTGCAGTCAGCATCACGTTGTTCCAATGGCCCACTGCTTGTCCCTCTCGATGTAGTCATCTGCGGGCATGAGCCACTGTTGCCACGCCAGGACAGCATGAAACCAATAGTAGCTTCTTGCTACTAGTAGTAATGGCCTCCAACCTAGTAGCGATGGCCTCCAACCTATATAGTAGCCAACTCCAAATTGCAATGAGAATGCCAGCCCCAACTTTTGAGGCCAACCTGTTGCTCTGGCATTGGTCACGGCAGGATAGGCAGCCGCAGAGAGAACATCATACGGATAAGGCATGCAATACCTGAGCCGCTCCCAATCTGGACTTGAATGCTAGTGGCCAAAACACTGCCAGCAAGAAACTCAACGGACGACATCTGAAACAGCCATGCCACTGGACAGTCCTCCCACTGCTCTCTGCGCCCACAGCCATTCCACGGAGCCACAGGTCTGCAAGAGAGACATTAGTCTGCAATGCCTCAGCTGGAGTGCAAAGGCTCAACCGGAGAGGCATGAAGCTCAAGAAAGGTTTGAGGAATCTTCCTGAACACAGTCACACCGCGAAAGAGAATGAGACAACTTGCTTGGGGCTCCTGCCTCAACGTTGTCATACTCTGTACCTTGGCGTGAGATGTCTTAAAGGTGGGTTCCTGTAAAATTGAGTCCGTCCATCTGAGGGCCCCACACATCCAGTCCTGCTCATACATGGATAATCCCCAACCCTCTTGTTGAGTGAAGAACCACCTCCAAGGAAAGAAGAGTCAAACAGTCAAACCCATACGTGAATATGTGATCTCAGTGATCTCTGTCTATAAAAATTGTTTATATGTTATCTTATCTCTAATTGTTATACCATATAATATAGCCGTGGTATAGTCGTGGTACATTGGCAATCGCTTGGCACAAGCCACAACGGGTCACAACGGGCAACTGTTAGTAAGCTTCTTTCCTTCCGCTCCTTCCACTGCAAAACTGCCTGAAGAAAGCTTCAGGATCTTCGGGGACTGCCGCTGTCTTAGACAAGTACCAGTTGAAAGGCTCATGCCTTAAATCCAATCAAGTTCCAGAACAGCTTGCTGCTTCTGCATCGGCGATCTTCGACGTCAGTCTTCTCAAACGAGCCACTTCACGTAATCAGAAGAGGGCGACCATTGGCGGTTGTGCATCCTTTTGCAGTGAAGGAACTTGCAGGATGGCAACGCACAAGCCACAAGTGTGGCAACAAATGTCACCCCTCATGTGTTCACAATAGTACTCCAGAACAAATCGCAAAGAAGCAATGAGTTCTTGTCAATGTTCTCATTCACGTGTTCTTCGCAAAAGTTGCAGTACAAAAGAACCGAGAGTGATTATGTTCCAGGCCCAAGCGTCACCATCGGCACTTGCAGCTTTGACTGAATGTAAGCCATTCCATGCGGAAACACCGATGGCAATGCCGTCCTGTAGAAGGCGGGAATGCAACTGACGAATTTGTGGTCTATTGCGCGGTGCTTCTGCTGCTGCAATTGGCACAGGACAGTCCAGTTCACCACAGCCCCACCGCCACCGCCAGGATCAACTTTGCCATCTTTGGGGTAGAACCATGAGTCAAACCTAGGAGAGGAACCATCCGGCCGCCTTACCTCCCTTTATTCATAGATGTTTCTTCCCTGGGGATCTATTTTTATATACTTCATACAGTTCCGGAAAGCCCTTGCCACGTCACTGCGACAATCCAAGCAAACTTGAAGCCGGGGTGCTGCCAATGCTTGAATGGAACTTCGAGAGAGTCATGGTACGCCTATGGCTTCGGCAAAAACGAAATCACGAACCTGAGCCACCTCGAGCCATTCCAAGCCTTGACCTTTGGCAGGACCTCCTCATAGGTCTCGTTAGTACCCGTTGCATAATGGTAGTAGCCTCGCATCTCCAAAGCCAACACTGGTATCAAGCAGGCGGCGTCTCAGCGAATGAGGTTTCGGCCACCATTGTCGGTCCAAAAGCCAATGCTACCCACAACGTCATCTCCTCGAACAGACCCACTTCCAGTTGAAATGTCAGAATCCAATACGATCAAGGCTTCGGTATAAATTCAGGAAGGCTTCGGTACATGTCAGCACGGGGCTTGCCAGTGAATTTCAGCATACGGTCGCCCCAAGACATCATTCCTTGTCGTGGCAAAAGTTACCCCCTGCAAACTTATTGTTCACTGCTCTGATAAATAATGGCAACAAAAATTAAAGAAACACTGCTTCTGTTTTAGAACTGCCGAGGCGCCATCCAAAATTCCCTGGCCTGCTGACAATACAAATAACTGCTGCCATCCGGCAGGAATTCGATGAACTGTTCCCTTCACACCAGAGCCAATGAGGCCATCACCAGCCTTGAACTCAAAAAACTGCACACAAAGTCAACTGGCAGAATGCATCTTTTATCTTGTAGCTCCGCACTCTCTGCACACTCTGCACTCCACGACTCCACACACAACATACTTCTGCGTGGCACGCGTGCTGGTCACTTCTGCTGCTCTCGCTCAAATTCGGGCAAGGGTCAAACATATGCTGTGCCTCACAGTTCTAGCAGTTGCGCACTTAAACAAATCAAACTCTAACTGAAGCTGCATTGGGCTGTCAGACTTCAAAAGGGAGAGTTTAGCCAGGCCTTCGGCGTGGTCAAGGGTGCAAACACTGTCATTGGTGTGAGGCCGGTTTTGGAAGCATTGTAGATCACCAGTGGCGCGCCCCCCTGGTGACTAGGAGCATAGTTACCCACCGTGCCTGGGCAAAGCTGGACGATGCTGGACAAATCTTTCGGCTGATTCTTACTAAGTCTCAGCCAATAATGAAGTACTTTTGTCAATGGCATGTCCAGGTCGAATCCAACCGAGGTGCAATTTCGGAGGGCCGGAAAAACACCATGAAAAGCAAAGCAATCAAGGTCCCTGGCAGGTCCACTGCTGCGAAATGACGGGAAAAGGGTCGCAGGAGCTTTGGCAAGCCGAATGAGAAGGCAAAGTAGACAGTCTTAAGATGTCTTAAGGTGGTATGCTGGGCAAATTCATGCACTTTCACATCTGGGCTGCAGCCTAACAGTGTTTTTCTGGACCCCACACAGCTATCCGCGACAGGAGACCTGCATCTTCGGACCCCATGGTTTCGCATCCAGCTCCATGACCTGGGGGAAGCGTTGCCTCAGATGCATCGACCTGAAAGTATTCACTTATTTCTGTTTGAAACGTCAGCTTCTTGTTACTAGCAGCGATGGCCTCCACCTAATAGCGTCCTGTCCTTGTTACTAACTTTAGCATGACGCATATTGACGTGCGAATTGATACGCATTGAATCAAGACGCTCAAAGACAATAATTCCTGGATCTTCGGCATATGATCGAAAAGTTGCCTCCATCAAAATGTTTTTCCACCCCGCCCGTGTCCACAGCAAGGTTTCGTAGGTATATCCTGCAGTCTAAAAATGCCAGTGCCACAAGCATCACATGCAGGTGTCCATGGATTCAGGTGGTGTTCGGCCTTCTGGTGTTTGTAGTAGCGTCCTTGCTCCTAGTAGTAAGGCCAGGAGCCCCTAATAGCGTGATTGTCTTGAAGTTTTGAGCCTCCTACGATTCTTCTCAAAAACACACCAGTGACATCCAATGTCTGGCATGTGGCATCTGCTGAAGGGGGTTGTCACTATTATGCGTCTGGTGTCTGTCGCCCTCCACGCCCTCCATGGTTCCATCAGGCTCCTCCCAAAGCATCTTTCCCTTGCCCTGTGTGCCGGCCAGCACACATCAGGTCTGGACCATGCAGTTGTCCTATCCGGACCTGCACTCTGCAACTGGAGCAATTTCTCGCACATAGAGGGCGATTGGTGACGAGTCAATAAACTGCCCCACAATTCCGCAATGCGGCAGAGCTGTGCGCAACGACCTGATGTTTTCTTGATAAGTGGTGCGCATGTATTTTTGGCGCTTTGCTAGCACGAGCCGTGCACTCATACGATATGAGTCTGAACACAACACGTGCGACGGGGTGTCGTGTCACATGGGGGTGTGAAAGGACGGCGCCTTATCACAAAAGGCGAACGAGGCTCAGTGCGCACCTGAACGGGAAATGGCAGCGGACACATCAGCTCATGTGCATACGGTTCCTAGACATGTCACGCTCAAACTTCACACTCATGGTATTCTGTTGAGCTTGATGTGTCTGCGTGACCGTCTCCCTCAGCTGGATCCATGGCTTTTCAAGCCATTGCATGAAAGTGGTGACCAGCTTGTCACTCAACTTTGTCAAGCTGTCTGCCCATTGGAGGCGCGTCGGAACCCAGTGAACGTCAGGCCTTTGCAGATATTGCTGGATTGCTCTGATGACCACTACGGTCCTTTTGTCCTCCGTGCGAGGATTCTCGCTGACCAAAACGTCGTACAACGATCTGCAGTCCGTGACACCGATGATGCGAAGTGTCCGGGTCAGCTTGAACGAGGGGCAGCAGAAAATCATCTCGGACAGCAGGAATGAAAGAAAGGCGGCTCGATCAATTCCAATGTCACATGCACTTGCTTCTGCCGAAAGGGTGCTCCTGCAAACTCGGCTGCTGCGGCTTGACTTCCAATCTATCAGCAATCCCGTCCCTGTGGTGTCGGTGATCTTGGGATCGGCGATGAGGACCAAGTTGCCATGCTGGCTAGCTGAGCCTTCAGCGTTGGCCCAAGGGCTGTCAGAGAAGCTGACCAGCAAACTATGCTGGTGGACTGGAACTGGCCACATGTTGATGCCGTTGTTTGGTGAGGCATGGAGCAACTGTACTGCATCATACAGGCATTGCAAGTCCTTATAGGTGGACTTTGTTCCGCGGCTGCACAACGAAACTGTTGATGCCACCTCTGGTCGACATTGACCTGCAAGCCACTGCAGACATCCTGCAACGGAGCGAAACTCTGGCATGTCTTCCGGTTGGATGACCTGATCCAGTCGCTTCTTGCGTGCGACATTGCCAACTTTCATGCCAGCGATGAACTTGGACTGGGTCAGGGCCAAGTAGCAAACCCCACCTTGGCGTTTCCGGCTGACTTCTTTTCCTTTGAACACCAAGCTCTGTTGTTCCGTGAGGGCATCTTGACTTCCTCACTGGAAAAGTCGAGTGAGCTTGGATCTGTCCCAACGCTCATTGTGGGTGAGGAGGAAGTCGTCAACGTATGCAACCAAAACTTCTGCCAACGACTCATGCTCATCTCCAGGCAGGCGCTCCCACAAATAGAACAGCATCTTGTCCAGCGAGTGCTGGCGGAATCCGGCTTTTGTGGTGAGCTCCTTGACAACGTGCAACGACCATGTCCTGGGGGCGCTTGCAAGGCCATAGATGTTTCCAACGATCTTGTAGAGCGGTGAACGAAATGTTCCTGCAAGCTTGGTTACCCCATCTTGAGGTGGAAGCATGTACAGCGGAAGACGACGAGGATCTGGCGTCCCCTGCAGGAATGCGGTTTTGATGTCGCCGCACCATAGCTGCCATTTGTCGCGGCCATCAAGGAACATGTTGTTGTGGCCTGCAATGAAGATCGCATACAACATGTACTCACTTTGGCGCGTTGGTGTAGCGCTCGCGCGGCAAAGCTCCTTCAAGTCAGGGTCGGGATGACCCAAGGCGACGACCCGTGTCTTGGCCTTGAGCGGGCCTTGTCCCTTTGCCTTGTCTCTGTACGCGGCTCTTGACCGCAAGATCCTCTTCTTGAGAGATGCCTCCTGGGTCGTGAGAGGGATCACGCTGTTGAACTGTTGCCAGGAGGTCTCTTCGGCCTTTGCCGAATCGACATACTTGTCGAGATCTTCTTGGTTCATCTCCAGTATTGCTTGCCAAGGGACTTCTTTGTCCAGGGCCTTTTGTTCCTGGCGTGTCAGGGTCTTGGTGGTGCCCTGATGTCCAGCCGTCATGTCATCGGCTGAGGCTTCGGAGTCGCTAGACTCACCGGTGCCAGTGTAGCCTGGGGCTGCCCGGTATGCCTGAAAGGCATAGTGGCAAGCATATGGCATCTTCACGGGTTCACTGCCATCCTGGTAGTGGTCTCTGAACTGGATGCCGTCTGGAGTTGTTTCCAGTGAGGAGAGATGTGCTGCATAAGGTTCATGCCATAGCCCTGTGATCAGGTTTGTGCGCTCTGGGAGAATTGCGCGACCATCTTGATCGCTGTCGTACGGAGCGTCCCATACGACCTTGCCGTGAGGGTGAGTGAGTACCCTCCTGCGCTGGATGGATCCTTTGGGCGGACCCGCAAAATGGGTGGTCTGGAGGCAATGTGATGCTGCGTCAAGTCTGGCCCAAACGTGAAGGCCAGTGCCTGTGGTGTTGGCTGCCTTTGCCATGTTCTGGTATCCATGGAGGATGTAGGTGTCGTTGCCAATCCGCTGCTGCCGGGAATGAGCTCGTGGTCATCGTTCCCGAGTGGTTGGTCTGGATCATCCAGTTGTTCCGGTGGTGCTGGAACTGTGTCATCCTGGATATTGTTGTCGTCCAAATTGTGTGAGGCTTGTCTGAGGGCCTTGATCTGCTGGTAGTCGGGGCTCCAGTTCTCAAAGCCACGAGCCACCCGCAGTTGGTGAGGGGCGACTCTGACAGTGTTGGTTCCTGCTTGAACCCACATGCTTTTGCCGTCTGGGTCGCGGCCGAGCAACCTTGCGAGTTTGTACCCGCCTCGTTTCTTGCCGCTCCTGGCGGTCCAACGCCAGTAGGCGACGATGCTGCCAACTTCTGGGATGTCTTGCTCTGTCGGTGCTGTGTTCCGGAGGAGTGCCCGCCGGAAAGTGCTGTCAACTGACATGGCAGCTATCTGTTGTTGCGCCTCGACCCGCAAAGTGTCTGCGAGCTGTTGTGCTTGTGCTCTTGTTTGGCCTGTCACAAGGCCGTGTGGGCCGCTCAAGAGCTCCACGCCTTGTCGTGGAATGCGGCCGAAAGCGGCCACGTACGGCGGACGTCCCGCCGACCAGCAGGAGTTCTTGGCGTGTGCTGCTGCAGCTGTTGTGAGCTCCATCTGGTCGCTGCCGACAACTGCTTGCTGTTCTATCACTCGTTCCATGAGTGATCTGTATGTTGCATTGCGGCGCTCAATAGGCCTATCTTGTTGTGTGCTTCTGCCGGAACATAGTCCATGTAGACACCGGCTTCATCCATAGCTGCTTCGAAGGCGGCTCGGAATGAGCCATCTGGATCTGTTCTGATCCGGAGTGGAAAGCCAAATGCCCTGGCCCAACCTACGGTGAAGCAGCGGGTGATCTCCTCCAGTGAGCGGTTCTGGAGGAGGAAGGCCAAGTGAAGGTGAGTGACTTCACAAATGACCCCAAGGATCATATGGTTTGCTCCTGTCAGATCTCTGAAGTAGAAGATGTCCATCTGGACTCTGTCGGCGAATTGGGAAGCTCCATCGTCGGCCATCACGCCACTTGGAGCGGGCCTGGATGGCCCCTTTGGTGCGATTGCAAGTGTCGCACGACATCGACTCAACGGCTGTGTGAATCCGCTGGTCGGAAATGCCATTCATAGCCAGCAATCGTTTGAGTTCTGCTGGTCTGGGATGTGCGAGGTTCTTGTGCATCCGACGGTTCTTGATCTCCGCACTGATCTTGAGAGTACCAGGGAAGGTGATGTCCTCCGAGGGATTTGGCATAATGCTTCTTGGGTTGTCATCTGGCCGGTCTGATGCCTGTGGCGTGGCTACGTCGTCCTGGTCTGGTCGGAGGCGTTTGGCCTCTGGAAGATGTGGTACGCGTGGTTCTGCCTGCTGGGCTTGTCCAAACGTGAAAATGCCAACGTCCACTGGCTTCTTGAACCGTGCCTTTGGGTGACGTAGTTCTTGAAGATCTTCTTCCATGACATCCACCTGGCCGTCGGTGTATCTGAGCACGGCTGCCCGGTGGGTATGAGGCACGTGCCAGGGAAACCGCTAGCTGATTGGTTGCGCTGCAATTTGAACCCTCTCCATGTGCTTCCATTGAGAAAGCTCCAAGGTCTTGCGAAAGAGGGGGTCTGAGGTAGGCAGCGTGAAGGACTTGTATCGAGTGACTTGGAACGTGCTGTCAGCCATCTGGAGTGCTTCTGCCCATTGGTCAATTGCTGTGACCATGAACGTGGTGAAAAAGGTACGGGGCTGGTGCTGTCGATCTGGATGTCGGTGGTGTACCTCTTCTCGCACGCCCCTGGGGATCTCGGCGACCATCTCTGGTGGGTAGTGCTGTGACAAGGTGGTTTCCTTGCCTTGGAGTGGTACACATTGCTTCTGCTGGTCTGGTGTGAGCTTGCGGCTCAGGCGTGCCAGTACATGAGGGCAGTTGCCCATGAACCTGTGCCCCTTCCTGATCATGTTGCCCTTCGAGTCCTGGGCTCCGTATGATCCGGCATGACAGGTTGTGGTGGTCACACCGGGAAGGTTGAGCAGGCTGATCATGACAGGCTCGAACCAGATCCGACTGGTAGTGGGATTTTCCAGCAGGAACAGGCGTCCTTCATCCACTTGCTTGCGGCACCATTGGCAGACCTTCTTCAACAGTCTGCGTGCCTTAGCCCGACGCATGAGCAAAAGAATCTTCCTCCTGACATAGTTGGTGTTGTCTTGAAGGATGCACCAGTCGCGGCAATCGATCCCCTGGATGAGGATCAAGGGCTTGAGTTGGTCCAGTTGCCACTCGACTTCTTGCTGGTGTGCGGTCTTCTGAAGGTCCCATCCGGTTGCATAGTCGATGGGCGCTGCCGCACTAAGGCCAAAATGGCCGCTTCTTCTGGAGATGTTGGCTTGTCCTGCGAATGTCTCCAGGATGTCAACCTTGGACCGTGTGTCCCGTGACTTCTTGAGGTGCTCGAGCAGGTGATCATCATCCTTGGATTGGCTCACCAGGTCATATTCTATCTTGTAGACGTTGTGCAGCTCTCTCAGCCTTCGAGCGGCTGATGATAGAAGGCCTGTGACCTGTGGACTGGTTGTTCGAATTCTGGATGGTGAAGACCGTCCGGCCAGTCCATGGCATCTTGAGCTGGGTCTCCTGGTGGCTTCTCCAATCATACTGGACGGTTTCAAATGTCCCGTCTTCATACTGTACCTCTGCTCGGCATTCTGACCATAGAAGGTGTTTTGGAATCGGGCAGTCTTGATGATGAAGGTTGTACAGCAACAATCGAGGCATGTTGCGATGCCTCGTGAGCTTGTTCTTGCCCTTTTCCCAATAGTCGTGGTCATCGTCCATCATGCGCCCCAATCCCAGCTCTCCAGATCGGAGTGATACTGATCCGGATTGTCTGAGGTCGGCCCCCTTTCCTCGTAGCATTCCATGATGCTCTGAAACTCCTCTCGAGTGTACCCCGATCCCTGATAGTCGTTCATCGTCAGGTCGTGGATCATGGGTCTCTTGGAGCCTGAACTGGTGGTTGATCTGGTGTCGGAGGGCCGGCGCGCTGATTGCTCTTGCTCTTGGCTGCTTTGGACTTGCTCTTGGCTGCCGTGGTCCTGTGAACCAGTTCTGACGGAGAGAGGATTGTGTCCTGTGAGGGTAAGGGCAGCGCAGACGAGCTTGAAGATGTTGGTGAGTGTACCGCCCAAGCTCCGAGCTCTTGGTTCCACTTGAACCTTTGATCGCATCTCTTGCACTTGGCGAAGCGGCCGTGGAGGTTGCCGTATCGCTGGAACTCGGGGTGAGTGCAATCCCTCTGTGACACCGTGGTCCTCTGCATCTGTGCACGATGCTTCTCCTGCAGCTCGAGCAAACCCATGCTGCTGAGCCATGTCCTTGGACGGATTCCGAGGCGCACCAGCTTGCGCATGGACTTGATGACATTGAACCCAGCCATGTGGGTGGCTGTCTCGTCGACGGACTGGCCCGCATAGATGAAAGCCGTGGTGGAAACACCGTCTGAAACAGCCAAAGCTTCGGGATGCACGACGAGTTCGGGTGAAGGTTCATGCCAAAAACGATCATCTTGCAAATCACTCCAACAAGACATGTGCGAAACTCTCGGAGGGAATGCCGTGATGCATGCAACCAAATGTCCGTGCTTGCGTTTCAATGGAACACTAATGCCAACAACTGCAAAATGCAAAATGCCTTGATGCATGTCAATGACACAGCCCAACTGTTCCATGAGGACGCGACCAGCCAAAAACGGAATGTTGACATCCAAAACGCTTGCGCCCAAAACAATGCCCTGAGTCTCCTGACTGATGAAGGCAGCTGGAAAGTAGCAGCGGGTTGCTGCTTGCTGGCATGCACCTGCACCGAACTGGAATCGATCGTCGCATGGTACTTGATGACATTGCAACCCATCGTTTCCCACAACTTCATATGTGTACCCATCCACCGGCTCCCAGCACATGACCGTTGGCATGCCGTGTCCAACACCATATAGCCAGCTAGGTCAATGGTCTCGGTGACATAAACGAAGGGGGCATCCGGAACATCTACCATGAGGATGGCCGGGAAGGTGTAGAAGGGATCTTGTGGATCTTGTGGTTGTTCATCCCCATAGGTCACCACGAACGTCTTCTTAGGGAAGGTGGACGAGGAAGTCGAGGATTGGTTCCCCCCAGTTGCAGTCTTGCTCTTGCCTTTTCCTCCTTTGCCAGGGCCTTTGGCCGAGACTGGACACTCGGTGTCACCAGCCCAATGGCCGATGGCACCGCAAGCTGAACAACTGCTTGTGCGCTTCCTCTCTTGTATGGACTTGCGTCCTGTGAACTTTCGACCCAATGTAGCTGCTTTCAACTTGTTGGAAGTGACCGTGAGCACGGATGCCAATTCGCTTAGCGAAGCACCCAAATCATCGTCATCTTCCTGGTCCGGATCAGGGTCGACTGACGGCGAGGCATCGGGGCTTTCCTCGGGCTCGAAGAACTCTTCGTCCTCGGCGGCCATGTCGGCCGTAGCGAGCTCGTCTTCGTTTTCAGCTTCATGCACGGTTTCGTGCTCGGCCTGGAAGACCTTGCGAGGTGGATACCCTCCTTTGCCTTTGTTGCGGTTGTAGGCTGATGCCGATGACGGCACCGTTGAGCTTGAGCTCGTGGCGGTGGAGGCGGATGTGGAACTGTAAGACTTTCCACTAGACTTGAACGTCTGTGGCTGCTTCCATGGAGGCTGATGCTGATGAAACACTGCTGGCGTGGTCTTAAAGTCGGGGAATTGTAGCTGCAAACTTTCAACAATAGCATCAAAATCCAAGCTGTTGTGTGCACCAATCAAAACCAAACGGGCCAATGAAGGTTCCAACTTACAACGCTCAAGGATCCTATTTCCCCTCGACTCTGAGTCATACATTGCACCTGTCTGTATGCCAACTGCTCGCAAATCACGTTCAATCCGTTTGTATCGATTGATGTACTGTCGAATCGTTTCGTTTGCAGTGCGGGCAACAACTTCATAGTTTGCAAGCAATGCACGCTTCTGATACAAAACTTTGTGCTCAAGCGGCCCCTTCAAGCACGAAAGAATGTAGTCCACGCCGTTCTTGTCATTCACTCTCGACAGCTCCATGTGTTCACTTTCTGCCTCGGCCTCACTGTCAGGCTTGAGAACAGCATCAATCCGGCTTCAGCGCCGGTCAACTGGTTCTGAACCTGTAATCTCCAAACGTTGACCCGACGCTCGAACTTGGAGAAGGCACGGAGGTCCGAGGAGCTGTAGTTCCACTTGGGTGGATTTGGTGGTGTTCCACCCTTCCACTTTATGCCAGGCGACGGTCCCTTACGGGTGTCCCAACTGCTCTGCGAGGACTTGTCGTTCTTGCGCTCCTCAAGCAACTGCTTCATCACCTTGAGGAGCTCCGAGTCGTCTGAACTCTTGCCAACTCCCTCGCCTCGAGCTTCGATCGGCAGCATGGCCGGCAAAGGAACACCTGAAGGCGATGGATTGCTAGGTACTTCTTGCGCAGTGGATCGGTTTCTCCTTCGTTGACGTCTTGAACTGGCGGCCGACAACTCGGAACCAAGGCCTTGGGGCCAAACATAGTCAACCGAGGTGTCCACCGAAGGATCATGTGTTGGATTCTCGCTCTCACCTGTTTCCCGTGCCGGGTCAGCGGCTCGCTATCCTCGGACTGCCTCCGGGAAGCAAATGGGGGCGGATCCTCATTGGGAGAGCCATCGGACCGCGCCGCAGGAACGTACATCCAAACACCATCAGAGGTCTGGTGCCTTCGAGGTTCCGAAGAGTCATAGAACACTCGAGAATCGCAGACCAGGCATGTATAGGTGTCGTTATCCAACGGGGCCCAATGACTTGAGTGACATCTCAAACAACGCCAAGGTCTGGGGTCTGAGGTCAATGCACCTGGATCGGCTGCAGTCTCTGTGGCCAGCGTCTCCTCAAGCTCTGCCAGTTCAGCATGCGTCCATCCGTTCGGAAGGGAATCGACTTGCGAGGAGGTGGCCATGGACAGTCAACAGGCTCCGGTGCCAACTGAACACAACACGTGCGACGGGGTGTCGTGTCACATGGGGGTGTGAAAGGACGGCGCCTTTTCACAAAAGGCGAACGAGGCTCAGTGCGCACCTGAACGGGAAATGGCAGCGGACACATCAGCTCATGTGCATACGGTTCCTAGACATGTCACGCTCAAACTTCACAATGAGTACAAATATTATATGTGGATGGAGTCACAATGTCTCAATTGCACACTCTGCGAGTTCAGCTCGGCCTCACCACCTTCAAGCCATAGTTCACCATCCAACGTAACAGTAAAACCTGGGGCATTGGAACTGCGGAAATCCACCTGCACCAAAGGTGCTGAGGAGTAGTGAACTCGTGTCGTGGTATCGACCCATTCAATAGCACATAGTGTAGTGCTCGGTTAGCTTAGATGCTTAGTGGGGGGGCATCCGAGCATCCCCCCCCCAAAAAAAGAGTGCTGCTGGGGCCATCTTGGTGACCCCAAAAGGGGCCCATGTTCGGAAGATGGTGCCCGAAACGTCCAACATAGCCGATGTTGTGCAAGTGTGAAAACAATTGTCAAAAACTGTGGGCCGTTTGCACGTTTTTCTGGTCTGCGACTGTCAACCAATCCAGCCGATTGAACTCAACATGCTGCAAGCTTGACGTCGATGGAACACTTCTCCGGGCCATGTTCCCCACGTTAGCATCAACTTGAGCCCAAGTTGAACCCAAACAAACCCAAGTTGCATCATGTTGGGCCAACTTCAGCCCCAAACAAGCCCAACTTAGGCCAAGTTGACCTCAACATAGGCCCAACAAGGGAAACATGGTCCAGAAAGGTGTTCCAGAACGGCCAAACTTGGGGCATATTGGGTTCGGTTCAACTGTGAGTCAATGAATAAATCCGACGCACCATACTGATACGATCCTTGTGTGGGGGGTGGTCGTCGCGGAGCGACATGAATAACTAGGGCCTAGTAACAAGAAGCTACTAGGGGCTCCTGGCCTTACTACTAGGAGCAAGGACGCTAGTAGGGGCCCCTGGCATCGCTACTAGGAGCATCCTCTCCTCATGTTGAGCACATAACATCTGAGCCGCCACAGCTTTCATCAACTGTAGCCCGCAGTGTTGGCCCTGCTGCGGCGAGCCCAACAAAGGTCAAGAGCACAGCGCCCACCATGGCAAAACCAAGATCAAATCGGAGACTTGGCCCGATACCAAGGTGGAAAACACGTGTCGTATTGCCAGTAGTGCAATTGCAAATTCAAGAGGTACTGTAAGCTGTTCAAGAGCATTCTTGCTTCTTGTTGGTAACCATGGGTAGCGAAATCCAAGCCTCAAGGCCTATCATAGTGAAAGACAGTGATGCCAAAGCACAAAACACTCGAGAAAATAAAAAACCGCATTTCAGGCAAGCAAGGCCAGTCCACCCACCAAGACTGCGTGCGCAGGGTGCTAGAGGCCTCTGGAAGCTCCTTCGACAAAACAAGTGTTCCTCCCCGAAACTAGCAATCTGAAGTTTGTGAAATTGAATCGCTTTAACCAATGTAAATGCAAGCGCCACCAAACCAGGTTTTCGATGCACTCAAACATGCAGGGCGAACCTGGATGTTCAAATCTCAAGCAATCCAATGAGTACCAGGGGCAGCCTTCTAAGTGTAGCACCAACCTAACAAACCAGCTGAGCATCTTCTTACACGTTTTGGGGCGCTGGCGTTTTCAGGGAGTCACCACGACACACCATCCTGTCCTGCCAAACAAGGATTTCACAGATCAAAAGAGCGTCAACTAAAGCGATGTCCTGCACCTATCTCCACGAATTACAGGGTGTGTCTTTCATCTGCTAGTAGCAAGGGCATCGCAACTAGTAACAACGGGCACTACTACTAGGAGCAAGGACGCTACTAGGGCGCTCCTGGCCTTTCTACTAGGAGCAAGAAGCTACGAACGTAACAAAGGGCATCGCTAGTAACAATGCTCGAAGGGTGCCCATTGGGCCATGCACGATCTATATAAGTTAAGCATGTCCTAAACAGCAAGCACTCAACCCGCCAGCCATTTCGCCATTAAGCACGCCAAAAAACCTACGACCACTCCAACTGAAACATGCCCTAGAGCACTGTGCACAAAGTAGTCACTAGTCCAAGTCTCCAACATTTTGGCAACAATGATTTGATTCCGCCATGCAATAGCTATCAGCTATCATTCATGCTTCTCATTGGATGTCATTAAATTATATGTCCTTGAAGCGGCCCAGTGCTTTCTCTACAATCCTCTTTCAAGGCCTGGGATGAATGACAAGCTGGCTGCTTGAATGTAGGACGAACTCATGGAATGCAGCTTCGGTCCGTCACTACAAGTCTAGGGCCCGCTTAGTCTGCTGGGTTCTTGCCGTTCAAAGGTCCAAAGTGCCCTCTCGGCCTTTCACAAGTCCCTTTGACCCTTGGAGGTAGTCAGGGGCCAACCTTGCTCTACCGCTGACGATTCGGACGCTTCCGGTGACTCACACAGCATGCAGTGCAAACGACCAACCTTATCTTTAAAATGAAGTCCTCCAGGCTTCATGATGTTTTATGATGTTTTCTGTGTCATCACCAATGCGAGGAACACTCGAAGCTCCCAAATGATACATATGTAGGTCAGATGCCTGAGTGCTATTTTGAGAGCTTTTAGGTCTCTCGTGTGTAGACTGTGCTTGCAAATAGAGGCCTTCAAGGGCCTCCTCGGCGACGCAAACGGCCGCACACACCCAACAGCAATCAAGAAAGCGTCGGTACCTTGCAATTGCAGTCACTAGCATTCAACCATCCAACTACAGCGGTACATAGTCGTGGTTATTGTACCAACACGGTACCAAACCGATGCTTGAAAAAGCAAGATGGAGCCTAGGAACCCGAATCCACACATGCACACAAACACAAACAAACAAACTGGATTGACACTCTTACTGTACTTGCTTCACGCTCTTCAAAGACACTGCTGCTCTTGTGCGACACTCTTGTAGGATACCCTTGCGCACCATCTTGAAGGACACTCGTGTAAGACGTAAGACACTCTTGTGAAACAGGCGTGTAGCACACAAACGCACTCTTTTGCGGCACTCTTTGGGGCACTCTCGGCGCACAGTCTTGTAGGACTCTCTTGCGGAACCCTCTTGTAGGACACTCTTGTAGGACACTCTTGTGGGTCACTCTTGCTGTAGGACACTCTGACAGGTTAGGACAGGTGGGTGGGACACTTGTGCGAACTGCGTACTAGCACTTCTGAGATGAGACACACAAAGTACTGCACCTGCCACGAAAAGTGACCGTGCCACACTTTGACAAGTGTAGAAACTTTTGCACCAAACCACACGTTTGGATACGCTTGGAATGGTTTCGACACTACCTGAGCCTCTGAGCAAACTAACATCAACCAAAATCATAAATTTACCTGAGACTTGTCATGAAAACACAGCTTCGATTTAAGCACTTCAAGAGCAAATCCCAGTGGCTCAACACCCCCAAAAGACTACCCCGCGAACGCCAATCCCAATGGCACAGCGACATAAAGCGCAATGAAGAGCAGCTTAAGCAAACCAAGGCCCTGTGTGCGCACTAGGTTGATGCTGACTGCTGAAAGCTTAGATTTCTGCATCCACTGGTCAAAAACCAACGGAACTTGTTCACTCTTGTCCTCCTCCCCTCTCCGCCTCGTTTGCCTCCGCTTCCTCTTACTCCTCCCACCCCTCCTGCTCCTCCTCTGAAAAATACACATATTTAAAGTCATTTCCTCTGCAGATGCTCACCAAAATGCCCATCATTCTGACAATCTTGGAGGAACCTCGCCTCAAGGTTTCAAAAAATGGTTCCGCGATACGACCAGGGAGCCAGGGAGGCAGTAGAATGTTATATATATATATATGTGTGTGTGTGTTTCTATTATATATAGTATATATATATATGTATAAATGCCTCCATTATTAGTAGAATGTTTATTTATATATATACTATATATACAACCATCCCATGGTCCTTGCAAGCCGCACTTGATGCTTTTTGCGAGTTTGGGGAGGCTTTTTGAAAAGCTGCGTCACTACTAAGCGAGTTCATTCCACCCCCACTCATCTGGTTGTCCGGCTTTTGTCATTAGTGAGGTGGGAGAATCTCTTTATTGAATTCTAGCTGCTCTTCCTGAAGACCTGTTGAATCCTCCTTGTCCAGTGGGCATGGGTCTAAATCTACTCCAAATCGCTGTTGGAGGATGACAAGGCTTCAAAGACGGCAACTAGTGACTAGTGGGTGCCACACCAAGGTTGCGCCTGCCTATCCTCAACGATTCTTGGTCCATCCTCAACTACCCTATCAATCTGAATGTCACATGGTACTTCACACGGTTTCCCTGTTCAATTTACGGCTGTCTCCCGTTTCCGGGGAGTTCTTGAACACATGGGCAGTTGTCAAACGACCCATGCATGTGTTGGTTTGGAGGCAAGCTAAAGTATCGGCATGTTTGATCAACAAAATGCATCATGCCCTTGTCATACCCTCAAAAGATTCAGCTGAAAGACAAATCTGGTGCGTGATGTTGGCGTCGGTGTACTGCATCGCTATAATAATCATCATGCAAGTCCTGGCATGCATAGGTGATGGCAACAAAGACTCAGGAGATGTGATTTCAAATGACTTGAGCTCCTACAAATTTTAGTGCATGTCTGCACATTTAAGCATTTCGTTCCTGCCTGGGGCTTAGCAACACTTTGAGCAGCTCCAGTCCTCGCTGTTTGTCAGCCCTGAGGTTAGTCAAGTCCTTCAAAGCTGGAATCAAAAGTCACTCAGGGTGAACATATTACAGTATATCAAATTAGAGTTGTGGTCATATGTGGTCGTTCAAGAACAGTACAAATGGTGTGAGAGGGGGGAATTGTGCTTTTTGTCTTTGTCAGATTTCCAATGAGCAAATTGCATCAGGTTCTTGACCCGTGCAGTGACTAAACGATCAGAACCTCCTTGGCAATGACGGACATGTTCGCATGGTAGCAGGCCACATCCTGCTCTACCCACAACGGATTGTATTGAAGATACGAAGGGTTGGTGAACGGATGGGCTGAAATGAAACAAGCACGAGACTCTCAAGTCCTTGCCCAAGCAAACCTACTTTTTCTGTTCATGATGTGTCCAGTGCTCATGCGTCATACATCAATCCGCCAGTCACCTTGGGTGACCCCGCTGCCCTGCCATAGTGGGAACGCCTGGCCTACAGCCCTAGCAAAGAGATTGCTCTGCTGAAGGAAGCGGTAGGGAGTCTACCAACTGTACTGCAGCTGTGGCTTTGGCTTCCAAGCAGCTTCAAGGTCTTCTCCTACTGCTGACAGCAGCCAGCTGCTCATTTTGGTTGGCCATCTTTTTCTTTTGCTCTTCAATCAGCTCTTCTTGGGCATAAAGCATCTGGAGAACCTGAACCTGAAATTCATCAAGATCGTGAACGTGGTGCTCCACGTTTGAAGCAACCTTGTTTCTCTCAATTGCCCTTGACGGCATCCATTGGATGTCGAAGCGCACTTCCTTCTCGGATTTAGCGCTGTCCAGTGTGACCGTCTCGGTTTCTTTGTGATTGGCCCCGGTTAAGACCTCCCATTGCACTTCTGCAAGTGGTGGCAATTTGCTCGGCTCGACAATTGCGAGGACGAGCTGGCCAAACGGAAGGTCATCCATTCGCTCGTTTGGCACCCACTTGATTCGGACACTGACCTGCATATCACTTCCCAGTGCCAAACTGAGTTCACTTCCCGTGTTGTCAACAACTGACTTCTTCGTGATTGGCAAAGGGACAAAGCTCTGAACAGCACCCTCCTTTGTGTGGACGGTCAACATCGCACAAGTGTAAGAAGCCGGGCCATCCTTCAAGAAGTGCTCGACAGTCTCCTGTGATCCCTCAAGAATCTCTTTGACTTCCTTCACCACCTTGCTTTGCAAGTTCTTGTCCTCCACAACATCTGCATACTCCTTGGAAAAGATTTGCTTGATTCGCTCGATGGGGACAATCCAGAGCACCCCTTTCAATGTCAAGGTGCATGCCAGAATGGCAATTCCCCAGTAGGAGACCACCTTTCCCGCGCGGTATGGAGTATCCTTCATGCCAATGAGCCTGCAAAATGTCCAATACCAAGAGCTCATAACAGAATCAAAAACCTCCGCATCCTGTTCCAGCTGCTGTAGTAGACAGGAAGCAATCAATCCGATGATGGTGATCATCGTGAAAACGATAGCAACCTGGCTCAAAGTTGGAAACTGGCCTCTCTCTTGTGCATTCAATTTCTAGCATTGTCTTGAAGGTTTACAAGGCACAGAATGAGTTGAGCTGAAAAGGAGGAGAATAGAATCCGTGAAATATGATGAATTTTGACAGCCCAGCCGCCATACCCATGCTCTTCCACAATGTTAGCCCCAGGACCTGCATCATATCCAAATGCCTCACTGATTTGAAGATGCGAAAAACTCGCGCCAGTCGCAAAATGCGCAGGAACGATGCGGCTGGTAGGAAGTGTCCAAACCTCAGAGCCAGGGTTTTTCATCTTGCTCAGTTCGCTGGTGCAAACATAAGGCTCGAATGGGCGACAAACAGAGATACAGTGGCCATTGAGCCTGTCTATGTGGCAATCGGAAACTAGTTGGTCACTCAGATAAAGAACCTCAAGTCAAGGCCAACTCCCTTTTCATCTTGGACTTGCTGCGAGGCTGTTGCAATAAGTGCATGGAAGCAGCAGCATGTCACACCACCAGGGAAGAACGGCCAATAGGTCAATGACGTTGCTTGATTGCTTAAAGTTTTGAGCGAACCGCTCCCAGCGAGACAAAGGCCGATTGGTCCAGCTGTTGAAGTCAAAGTATTCCAACGATGGTTCTAGCGCCTCAAGGCGCACAAATGGGGCGCAGACCATCTTGAGGAGATAGTCAACTGTGAAGACCTCAGCATATTGCAATTCTCACACAATGACAAAATGCAACTAAAAACCGTGTTGTGTGGCCTGGGCACTTCACTTACTGACTTTGGGAACCTCGCACAAGCTTTGCTCCAAACCCAGAACTGTTGCTTTGCAAGCTGTGTTTGAAACGCGGGTTCAGACCATCTATACCCAAATATATATATATATATATGCACACCTGGCACACCTGAAACGGGGGGGGACGAAAGCCAGCCTCCGTAAGAAAACATCAATATGGCAATGCGGGGTGAAGTCGAGTGCGCACTGGAACAGCGTCAAGTATGGCGAAATAGAAGGCAGAGGTGGAGAGTCGTAGTAAAGGTGGGGGAGTGGGGTGCCCCTGCTTTTGTTGCTCAAGGGACGTTTTGAAGATACAAGCTAGTTCGCTCATGTTCAAGTCCACCCTGCATAGGGGAGACTTTTCCCACAGTTGGCATTGTCTCTGCAGTTCATCTTCGCCTGCATTGACACTCTTCTGTTCACAGCATTTGCTATGGCGCCCATCTCCATCCTCCTCTGCCCGGACTCCGGTCCCCACCACAAGTCCTTTCGCGGGGCTCGCGTCGTCAGCACTGAGGGCAAGACCGGACCAGGCCCTGTCCCAATTTCAGTGCGAAACTGGTAACGGTTGTGGGATGAACGGTGTCCCAAC